TTTTAAATGACCTTAATCTTCAGACTTAAATCTTTTTCTTACCTTACAGCACAGGTTTTTAACAAAGGATATTTGCCCCCCCCCCCCCCGAGGGTTTGTGGTAGGCAGTGCCAGTGTGTGTTATAGACATAATTTTAAATGCACTTAAACTTCAGACTTAAATCTTATTCTTACCTTACAGCACAGGTTCTTAACAAAGGAAATCTGCCCCCCCCCCCCCGAGGGTTTGTGGTAGGCAGTGCCAGTGTGTGTTCGAAGACACAAAATTGTCTTAAGCTAAAACACAAAAACTTCCAAATCATATCTGATAAATTGATACCTAACATTTTTCCCCCTAAAGTTCATTAAATAATAAAATTAAACAATAATTTACAAGCAACACAAAAAACAAACAAAAAATAGAAACAGATTTTAGAAATCCCTTTCATTGATCAGCTACCCTTTCTTGTCTGAACATGTATATAGTTCGAGGACCCATTTTTTTGGAGCATGTCTAAAAATGTATAAAATAACAACTTATCTTAATTATTGTCAAAGTTAATTTTGAAAATCAAAAATGATGTATGCCTTCCATAAATATCAATTTAGAATATTATTTTGTATCTAGCTTTAGGACATTTTTTCTCTTAGATAAGAAAGGTCAGATCTTACATGAAACTTTAATTTAATACTATTAATCACACTGTATGACTAAATGTTTACTAGAAATAATACTGAAGGCCAGCGTTCCCCAAATGGTGGCCAACAAACCTTATTTTTATTTTGCGAGTCCACACTGACCACACAACAGGGATATTTATGGTCAAATTAAAAGAAAATATAATAAATAAATCTGATTTTGAATCGATGACATTATGGATTAATCAACAAAGCATCTTGAAATCATTCTACTATTTACCCTTCCAGAAAATTTATTAAATTTTGGGGTTTTGTAAAATTTTAAATAAATAGGGTCAAGATGTACTGTAGCCTGGTGTAGAATGTGTACTGAAACTTGTTTTGATGTTGCCCATCTTGTTTCCTAGGAAACATACTAAATTTTAACATAATTTATTACACAACAAACAGGGTGGCCGAGCGGTCTAAACTGACTCAAACCAAATAGCTGGTAGTCTGGAGCTCAATCCCCACCAAAGTAAAGCCAACATCCCAAGCACCCCTGGGCGGATGTGACTCTTCAGCGCTTGGACGGTAACTCGTCTAAGAGAAGGCAAACTATGAATTCAAACCAGGAGCCACAATGATCAATACATTGATCGTAAACCAACAAATATGAAAAAAAAGCCAACAAAAAGAACTCACTTTCGACATGGAAAAGTTAAAATAACCATATTTTATCAAATTTTTAACTAATTATTATTTGTAAAAATATATGCAATTAATTTAATGGTTCATAAAATTAGTAAAAAAAATAAATAAATAAATTGTATAAAAGTTTCGCTTTAGATTTTTAAAATTTCTCACTCGCGCCTCTTTTAGAACTTAACAACCTTAAATTTACAACAACGGAACTTTCTTTCGATCAAACCTCCGTTTGACCAAATTGCCCTTCGACCAAACTTCCGTCGATCAATTTTTTTTCGACCAAGTTTCTTTCAAATTCCCGAATACGAGTTATATAAAAATGATATAATTCTAATGGAAAATTCACGAGTTAAAAAAGTGAAAACTTCTCATTTTTTATGCTACTTGCCTAACCTGCCTTTAAAAAAAATAGGCCTACAGACAACCCTACCACTCAGCCTTTAAACAATAGGCCTACAGACAACCCTACACCATACCAGTCAGTCTTTAAACAATAGGCCTACAGACAACCCTACCACTCAGTCTTTAAACAATAGGCCTACAGACAACCTTACCACTCAGTCTTTAAACAATAGCCTACAGACAACCCTACACCATAACAGTCAGCCTTTAAACAATAGGTCTACAGACAACCCTACACCATGCCAGTCAGTCTTTAAACAATAGGCCTACAGACAACCCTACCACTCAGTCTTTAAACAATAGCCTACCGACAACGCTACACCATACCAGTCAGCCTTAAAAAAATAGGCCTACAGACAACCCTACCACTCAGTCTTCAAACAATAGGCCTACAGACAACCCTACCACTCAGTCTTTAAACAATAGGTCTACAGACAACCCTACACCGTACCAGTCAGCCTTACAAAAAATAGGCCTACAGACAACCCTACCACTCAGTCTTTAAACAATAGGCCTACAGACAACCCTACACCATACCAGTCAGCCTTCAAACAATAGGCCTACAGACAACCCTACCACTCAGTCTTTAAACAACAGGTCTACAGACAGACCTACACCCTACCTGTAAACTTTTAAACAATAGGCCTACAGAAAGTCCTACAGACAGTCCTGTAGAAAGTCCTACATCATACCTGTGGCTTTTTATTGCCTTCAAAAATATTCAACATTCAACCGTCACGCAATACGCGCGTTGCTTGACGGCCTTTCTTTTCGCACTCAGTACTATTAATATAAAAAATATTGACTAAGGGGGTGGAGCCGGTTGTGATAAGGAAACAGCCACACCAGAAGCAAAAAAAACATTATACGAGATGTTATGGAGGCAAAAATCATACAATACATACAGGCATGTCATTTGGGTAGGGTAGGATGGGTCTTTTGCCCCCCCCCACCACCCTGAATTTGCAGATTTTTTCCCCATTGGTTTGTACTGTGGTGTCTCCAGCAATAAACAACTTGACAAGCCGACCAAGTTTTGGTTTTATCTCCCCCCCCCCTCCCCCCTAACTTCCTTGACAAAAACATGAAATGACGCCTCAGAATACATGCTTGATGGGCTAAAGCTCACTGTCATTTAATGACGTAGGAAGAGGGGTACGGGGGGGGGGTTTTTTTTTCCCCGCAAGGGTTGGGGGGGGGGGGGTGTCGGCATTTTCAGGCCAACTGCAGAGGTTTTTATGGGAGGGGGTGGCGAAATTCTTTACCCATCCCGGGTGGCACATAGTCTAATTACGCCAATGTTATAGCTAACAGCGACAAGCCTAGAAACATGTAATGTGGTCAATGGCCACCGTTACTGTCAATTCACCTTATATATTGATGGGTTTCATTTATCGGATTCATTTACGTGTTGTTCATACGTCGGTAATAACACCGAATCAAAGCAAGTCCTTTTCCATTAGAAATGAAACTTTGATATTAAAATATCTCTACCAGCCTGACAGTCTGAGGCTTTACATTTAGTTAAACACATGCATAGCGCAGCTCGCTATAAGAAAGAGACAACAATACGCAACCATCCTATAAAAGGTTATTTTTCGACTGCTGACGAATATGCACGTAGGGCAAAGATCTTCTAGACCAGTGGTTCCAACCATCCTATTGCCACGACCCTTTAATACTGTTCCTCATGTTGTGGTGACCTCTAACACTAAAATTATTTTCGGTGATACTTCACAAATATATGTTTTCCTATGGTCTTATGTGCCCCTCTGTAAAGGTCGTTCGACCACCAAAGTATATTTACCGTAAAAATACGTCACCCAGGAAATGGCGGTATCTTGTCTCCCCGGGTTTGAATTTTACTTCAATCGCGTGCGTATATCTTCGACTTGCATTTGATGCCAACAATCAAAACTTCATGGTATTATTTGTTTTCATAACATAAGACTTTAATTAAAAAGAACATTGCTCATTCAAATTCCTTAGCACCCCCTTTGGAAGTCCAAGAGCACCCTTAAAATCTCTCATGCCTTTCATCGTCCCCTGGAACTTCCCACTGCCCAAATGGAACGTCCGACACTTTAAAATAAATACTACACAACTTAAATGCTGGAAGAAATCTAACGGAAATGTTAAGGACTTCACTCTATATTGTGATTGCGTGTTGTTTAGAGATTGTACGTGTTGCTTTATCTATGATGCTTAGTATTTTGTGACGTAATTTGTAACGTATTTTGTGGTTACGGTAGTTGTGATCGAGTAATGGCAGTTGGCGATTTAGTTGTGTTAATAAAGATATCGTATTAGAATAACCAATAGTTTTTTTAAAGTTAATATAATTAACCCTTATGCAAAACGCAGCCATCGAACCCTTGGCAGCATCGGTTCGTAACACGAAAACCAAGAGAAATGTTGGCTTAAATTATTGAGGACAGACAAAAATGTTAAATTTTACAACTATAAAAATAGCAAAACTGAAATATGTGGGTCTAAAATTCTCTCTGGTGATTTTTATTTGGCAAATTATGTTTTGGAGTAACTTTTTCTTGTAAAATTTGTCGAATTTAAACACCCTTCGTAACTTTATTAGCCAGAGTTCACTATACAGTCTATTGGGAAGTTATGCGTTAAATAGTCATCAAGTTATTAAAATTTAAAATTGCAGCCGCAAGTCCTCATGTTAAAAACTTGGCCGTATTTTAATATCCAGTTATATTTTGATGTCACAGATTTTGAAATATGTGATTTGGAGATCTACCAAAACTATCCAGTTACCATCAACTTTATCATGGCCTGTGAAAAAAATACATTCACAAACATGTCAAGTGTAATAAATAAGTTTTATTTTTTGAACTGCTTAAAAAAAAATCAAACGCTCATTTTAAATGTTGTTAGTTAAACAATTTTCCTTGGTGAATATCATGATTATATAAAAACATACTTAGCAAGTTATTTGTTTCTAACATTTAAATATTATTCGCATTTGACACAAACAAAATTGAAATTGCAAAACTAAAAAAAGAACACAAATAATATTAGTGGAACTTTAACTGTGCGATTTTACTTTTTTTAAGGAGAACTTTGGTTCTTGGATAATTTTATTTTGATTTTGATTTTTACAGTTTTTTCTGATATTTTTGTTGTTGATTTTTGGTATGACCAAAGAAGACATGCATTAGTCTTATGAAAACAATGATTGAATGATTGAAAAATGATGTTTTTTTTTTCAATTAATTTAACTACATGAAGGATTTTTGAGGCTATAACACTGTCAATATTTTTATACTTAAATGCACTTCACAGCAACGGACAATTCTTTAACATCGTATAAAGTTGTTGGGGTCATTGGTACTGACGATAGCATTACATCTGGCCCTGTAGCACAAATCTTGAGTGTTTCTAATATGCCTTTGATAAGCTTTTGGGCATCCAATGACGCACTTAGCAATAAGGTATGATTCTAGTCAGTTTTTTAAATATATATTTTGTTGAAAAATATAACTACGCGATTTATACTTTTTATATGAAAAATATATTTTAACTTAAAGCATTTTTAATGTCAGAGAGGGTTTTAAATAATTTAACAGTAAATTTTGCATTGAAATAAAAAAAAACAACAACTTGAGACACAAATATTTTTTCGAATAGTATGTGGAAAATTACTGACACCTTTTGGAAGCTAGCGAGAAATAAACATTAGCCTCTCGATTCCAAATTGTAAGTTTGAAAATGATTAATAGAAGTCATTTTTACTAAATCGATTTTAAAGCTCTATTTTTTCCACAAAAGGCTTATAATGGTGAAAATGTAAGATCACTCCCACCCATGAAAGTCAAATAAACAAGGGATACTCTTCTGTCACAGGCTTAGGCGGTTTGTTTGATAGTGTTGAGGGGAAATGGAGCGTTCTAGGAATCAAGTTGATCGAATCACCTTAACAGCATGATCTCCTTGTATTTAATCTAGATTTAATAATTTTTAATATAATCAAATAAATTAAAAATGTATAATATACAATGATAATCTTTACACAATTTAGCTCATCTACCCAAACTTTTGGAGAGTTTTGGCACCAGACACGTACTTGCTGTTAGGTCTGACAGACTTCTTGACACTTCACAACTTCAACTATGTCTCAGTCATGTTCTCCGGCACACGTCGATCAATATCCATGTACTGGACATTAAAGAGACAACTATCTCTTATGAAAATATGCGTTTCGAGAAAGTTGATGATTAATGAGGGGACGAACATTACCGATTTATTGTCTGAGATGCTCAACGATGAACTGGCCTCAAGGATTATCGTTGTCGTCGGAGACCATATGCTAACAAATGCAATCATGTCGAGCGTTAGTGGATCAGTGTTTGAAGGCAAGTTCCTGTGGATAGGAAATGACTTCTGGGAAGTATATATTCACAGAAATCGAGCACCGCAAGGTTCAATTGCCTTACATTACAACAGTGTTCCACTTCCAGACTTTAGCAGTTATCTTCGGGGACTAGACATCCACAATAAAAACCCATGGTTCCTCAAAGCTTTAACAGATATCGATGGCTGCAGTGACACTGACTGCATCAAAAGACGAATAGAAACAACAATTGAAAACCCCAGTAAGGTTTTAGCATTAATGGACGATTGTCCGTTTGTGATCGCTCATGCACTGGACAGATTTTTAAGATCAAAATGCCCTGGATTACGGGAAAAACTCGTTTCAAATTGTTTTTACGCCAACTTCAACAACTTTTCACATTTTATCTCAGAAGTTAAATTTGAAAGAAATTTACAGATGTTTGAGTTTAGCAAAGAACAACATGGCTTTGGGGTATTCTCCATGATCCAGTCAGCTTTTGACATAAGTGCTGTACCTTTAGAAATATCCCAATACATTATTAAAAGGAGGACAACTGTTATCATCAACAGGATATCAACCTCACAGTTATTGATTCCGTACTCAATGCTGGAACCCCAAAATTATTGCATGATCCCATGTTCTGCAGGCGAGTATCGATACTATATTTCTCGGTGCTGTTGGAAGTGTAGAGAATGTCAAGATAACCAGAGGGTCAGTGAAGATTTTGAAACCTGCGAACGATGTCCTTCATTGCACTGGCCGAAAATCTCCAAAGGTAAAAGGAATAAATGCGAGAAGATAACACCAGACCATTTTGATTTGTTTTCTCTAAAGTCCACCATAATGATTGCAGTCGCCTGTTTGGGGATCATCAGCGTTGTTTACATCCTCAGGGAATATCTCAAAAACAAATTGCACCCAGTGATCAAAGCCTCGAGCCTAGAACTGAGCGTCATTCAGCTTGTATTCATTTTGCTGGGCTACCTTGCTGTGCCTGTTATTGTAGACCGACCGACGGCTCTCAAATGTACGATAGGGGCCCTGCTATTCACGATCAGCTTCAGCATTTTGTACTTCACGATGTTGTTAAAAGCCATCAGAGTGTACCGTATTTTCTCATCTTCTAAACATGTGAAGACGGTGTCTTACACGAGTCCAGCCTTTCAGGTGTCCACTTCTGCGACTTTTCTTTGCTTTGAGGTAAGGAAGTGTCAAAAGGATCTTTATCTTATTAAGCAAATACAATGAAAATTGTTTCTCTTAAAAAAGTATACTCTATTTTTTTTTTGGTTAGAGAAATAATAGGAACGATTTTTAAAGAAAAATCTCTTCTTTTAGTTTACATACTTTATAATTTCAAAACTTTATCGTAGTAGTTTTACTGTTGTAAATTTGTTATAAGCAAACCCAATTTTCCTTTAAGTATAGTATGCTACCAGTGACAAGATACTATTATATTTAATTACAGACTATTTTTTAAGACAATAACTTGAACCTTGTAACCATGAACTAATAAACAAATCTACTACTTCCTATCTATTATAAATATCTTTATCCTTATTTTTACAAATAAACTGAACTATTTTTTTATTTTTTAGGAAATAATAAAACAAGGTATGTGCAAGCTTGAATCAAAAGGCGGGACAAACGATCAGAAAGTTTCTTCTAAGAGCCCTCTTCAGCAGAAGGAGAAATGAAAATATAATATAAAGGAACTAGTTTAAAAACTCAAGTGATCACCATTATTATTGACAGAAGTTGAATTTTCCAAAACCAAATTACAGGAAGTAAAATAATTTATGTATTATAAGTGTAAAAGGAGGATATTAACGGACAAAATAATTGTTTATAGATATATAAAATATTAGAAATAAGAAAAGACATAATGGGAAATTGATGACCATTAGTAGATGAGAATTTGATTAAATCCATATGGTTATGTACCGACAGCCAGAATTAATTTGTTTTCCCTTCTAAATCTCTCTTGTGTGTGGACAAAGGAAATCGGTGCCGTGATGAAAAATGTCCTATGTTTATCTCCGCTGAAATAGGAAGAAACCGGGGAAGGTTACTCTGTTCGATATCACGAAGATGTTTTAGTGAACCTATCTGATAATCTTCTACCAGTTTCGCCTTTACAACAGGAACAACATTTACGGTACACAATCGCAGATATCACATTTTGACTAACACATGTGAAGTTTTCTATGAGTAAAAGTACCTTTGGGGCGGCACAAATCTTTGGATTCGAGTGTATAGGGACAAGTCCTACAACGACTTCTAGAGCATGGTTTCGTCCCAGCGTAAGACGGGTCATCTCGAAGGCAATTAGATTTCTGTCACGTCTGAAGCCATTAAGTTGGGCGGATGATAATTTCCAGTTTCTGTCGAGGTCAGCAAAAAGTAGGTGTCGATTCTTTATGAATGAATATTGTTTTGGCAATCAAATTGTCCCTATACACTCCTAACCAAAAGCATCGGCCTCCCTAAGGGACTTTTACTATCAACGATGGTTTCACGTGTGTGTATGTCGAAATGTAATCTATTCCATTGTGTGACGTAGATGCCACTCCTGTAATATAGGTGAGCCTGGTAGCGGATGATCAATTAGGCTCACTGAAAATATTCGTGATAAGATAAGATAAGATTCTTTTATTGATCTAAATAAATGGAAATGCTTTTTGATTGCATTATACATTTTCAGCACAAAAATAAAACAATTTGAACACAAGACATTTATAATAAATTATTTCTAACAGCCATTCAGTGAGTTCTCTTAGCAAAATCGGGGACTTATTAGATCTCATTCAGATGTGTGACTTCAGAGGAAGCACGCCGGTAAATTCGTACAGATTGGGGAACAAAAGAATTTTTATATCTTTCAGTCCTCGCCCTGATGGAAAGAATTCGTCCCGAACGGCCAGATCCTAAGTATATAGGATGAAGAGGATGGGATGTATCATCCAAAATGTGTTAAGTTTTGCAAAAAAATCTTTCTTCAAATAGTTCTTCAAGTGAAAGATGTTTAGTTTGTGTTATGTTTCTAGCTTTCTTGATTAGTCGGTTTATGCGGTGTTTAATAAAAGACCTTGAATTCCCACACCAGCAGGATAAACTTTCCCCGGTCTCATCAAATTAAAAAAAAGATAAACATAAAGGAGCATTAGATCTGTCCACCACGGCACTGATTTCCTATACCAACACACCAGAGAGATTTAGAAGGAAAAACAAATTAATTCAGCTTTTCTGCACAATATCACCACATGGAATTTATCAAATACTCTCCTACTAATGTTTCTCAATTTCCCTTTTTTTAAAATAAAAAATGTATGTATATTATTTTCTTTCTTATATTTTATCTATCTCCAAACAAATCTGTTTTGTCCGCTAAGATCGTTTTTTTAAAAGTAATGAAACATACATACTTTTACTTTCTGTCATTCTGGTTTTGGAACCTCCAACTTCTGCAATAGCAATGACGATCATTTAAGTTTTTATCTAGTACCAATCTCTCATACTTGTCTTTTTACCTGGTCGTCGAGGAAGGCTCTCAGCCGAAACGTTCCTGTCTTTTGTCCTGTTTTTTTATTCAAGCTTTCACACACCTTGATCTACTATTTCCTTCACACACCTTGATCTACTATTTCCTTCACACACCTTGATCTACTATTTCCTTCACACACCTTGATCTACTATTTCCTTCGCACAGCTTGATCTACTATTTCCTGCAACACACCTTGATCTACTATTACCTTCACACACCTTGATCTACTATTTCCTTCACACACCTTGATCTACTATTTCCTTCACACACCTTGATCTACTATTTCCTTCACACACCTTGATCTACTATTTCCTTCACACACCTTGATCTACTATTTCCTTCACACACCTTGATCTACTATTTCCTTCACACACCTTGATCTACTATTTCCTTCACACACCTTGATCTACTATTTCCTTCACACACCTTGATCTACTATTTCCTTCACACACCTTGATCTACTATTTCCTTCACACACATTGATCTACTATTTCCTTCACACACCTTGATCTACTTTTTCCTTCGCACACCTTGATCTACTATTTCCTTCACACACCTTGATCTACTATTTCCTTCACACACCTTGATCTACTATTTCCTTCACACACCTTGATCTACTATTTCCTTCACACACCTTGATCTACTATTTCCTTCACACACCTTGATCTACTATTTCCTTCACACACCTTGATCTACTATTTCCTTCACACACCTTGATCTACTTTTTCCTTCACACACCTTGATCTACTATTTCCTTCACACACCTTGATCTACTATTTCCTTTACACACCTTGATCTACTATTTCCTTCACACACCTTGATCTACTTTTTCCTTCGCACACCTTGATCTACTATTTCCTTCACACACCTTGATCTACTATTTCCTTCACACACCTTGATCTACTATTTCCTTAACACACCTTGATCTACTATTTCCTTCGCACACCTTGATCTACTATTTCCTTCGCACACCTTGATCTACTATTTCCTTCGCACACCTTGATCTACTATTTCCTTCACACACCTTGATCTACTATTTCCTTCACACACCTTGATCTACTATTTCCTTCACACACCTTGATCTACTATTTCCTTCACACACCTTGATCTACTATTTCCTTCACACACCTTGATCTACTATTTCCTTCACACACCTTGATCTACTATTTCCTTCACACACACCTTGATCTACTATTTCCTTCACACACCTTGATCTACTTTTTCCTTCACACACCTTGATCTACTATTTCCTTCACACACCTTGATCTACTATTTCCTTCACACACCTTGATCTACTATTTCCTTCACACACCTTGATCTACTTTTTCCTTCACACACCTTGATCTACTATTTCCTTCACACACCTTGATCTACTATTTCCTTCGCACACCTTGATCTACTATTTCCTTCACACACCTTGATCTACTATTTCCTTCACACACCTTGATCTACTATTTCCTTCACACACCTTGATCTACTATTTCCTGCACGCGGCATGAACGCAGTGGCTCATTTGTTGTCCTTTAATTTTTAGGTCTTCCGTTTCTTTTTCATCAACCAATTTTATCCAATTGGCGTCGGACACTTCCAACCGGACTTCAACGTCGATTATGTGGAAATGGCGTGTACAATTCCTTCAGCTCAACTCCTTCCGTTCTGCGTTTCTGCCCTGGTCCTGTTGTTTTCCTGCTCTGTCTACGCTTTCAAAACCCAAACCTTGCCCAGCAACTTCAAAGAGAGTCGATTTGTCTCCATGTGCGTGATGACGACATTGCTCATCTGGGCTGTTTTCATGCCAAATTATTTCACAACGCAACATTTTCAGCTGAAAATACTCTACATCATTTTAGCGCTACTTATCAACCATTCCACAGCTCTTTCGTTGTTATTTTTGACACGCATTTTAGCGATGAGAGTGTATGGAAAACGATGCAACTCCTTAGCGTGTTCAGTCTTTCTAATGAAAAGAAGCCTACCTCGAACAAATTGAGGACATCTGAAAGTGAAAATACAGGAGATTAACTCGTCATACTGTTATAGGAAGACTTTGCAACATCTGAAAGAACGCTGATGCCTGTGTAAAGCCTCCCGAGCACTTGAATCAAAACGACCGCCTCTAAGCATGACAGAACCAGCTGCTTCGCACTGACCAACAGGTGAAGACATTGACACGTAAGAAAATTGTCCAGCCATGCAGTAGTTATTGTGTGTGCTTCTGCCCATAATTTTACTTGACAAGTGCCACGTGAAATACTTGCTAAGACGTACGAGCAGTAGACTTAAGGGAACCTAATGATATGCTTCACAAAAGTCTACAAAATTGTGCACAAGCATATCTGAACTCGGTTACACTGGATGACGTTCAAATTATTAACATTTCTGAACGTTAAAAAAAGTCCATTTGTCTCTTATGGGGACGCTTCAATTTGAGTTACAATTTTGTTTAGTAGTATAATATTTTTTCGTTAAATTTTTCTAAAGGTTTAATTTCATCTTTTAAAAGTGTTTATTTTTTAAATGATTTTTCATTTTCACAATTTTCTAAGTTTTAAAAAAAACATTATTTTAATTAATAATGGCCTCATTTGAATTATTTTCAATAAATTCATAAAATGCGTTCTTGGTGACATATCTGTACGTATTCATAAGTCAAACAGTTAGACGGAATAAAAAAAAAAAGATTTCAGCTATTTGTGGTGAAAAT